CTGGGAGCCAGGACTCCTGGGTTCTGTCCCTGGTTCTGCCACTGACTCAGTGAGCCAGCTTGGGCAAGTCCACCGCCGCCTTCTTTCCCCCAGCTACAGACCCACACGCACGGCGCACCTTGGCGTGCCAGCAATGGGCGGGGTTCTCACCAGCGCTCTGCACAGGCAGCGCTCCCCACACCCCTCCAGGCTGGCCAGTCACCGCGCTCCCGGTTCCCTTTCCTGTGCCCTTGACGGGACGCTTCACGCAATCCTCCGATCCCCAGGGCTGCTCTTCGCCAATGGGGAGCGGTGGCGGCAGCTGCGCCGGTTCTCCCTCGCCGCGCTGCAGGACTTCGGCCCGGGGCAGCGGAGCGTGGAGGAGCGGATCCAGGAGGAGGCCCAGCGCCTGGTGGAGGAGTTCAGGAAAACCAAGGGTTCGTCTATTTCTGGGTTCCTCTGTCCGGCCGGGTCAGGGAGCAGCTGCAGGGGTTCCCCGTTCATGCCCTGCCCTGTGCCCCTCCCTGCTGGAAGCCGTCAGACGTTCTGATACCAAAGCCGCTGGACGGGCTGAATGTCCCATCCCCTCTTCTCCTTCCAGGTTCGCCCTTCGACCCCACCTTCTTCCTGAGCCGCTCGGCCTCCAGCGTCATCTGCTCCATTGTCTTCGGCCAGCGCTTCGATTACGCGGACGAGAGCTTCCTCGACTTGCTGGCCAAGACTAACCAGGTCTTCATGCGGCTGAGCTCCACCTGGGGACAGGTGAGCACCCCAGGAGCCAGGGATAGGACCCAGAGCTCCCAGACACCCCCTGGAGGAGGATCCCCAGGGGGCCACCCCGGCCCCCTTTATCCTGCAGGCGTGGGGCAGAGAAGCCTGAGAATCAGCCCCACAGACTCCTAGACGTGGAGCTGGAAGGGACCTCAAGAGGTCACCGAGTCCCGCTCCCTGCGCTCAGGCAGGACCAAGTCAACCTAGATCGACCCCGACGGGCGTCTCCCCAACTCGTTGTTAAAAACCGCCAGTGTCGGGGATTCCACAGCCCCCTACGTCACCTGTTCTCAACTCCCCGGAGAGTTGGAAAGTTTTCCCTAGTCTCTAACCGAAAACTCCCTTGCTGCAGATCAAGCCCTTTACTTCTTTTCCTACCCTCAGTGTATCACTGGCCTCTTTCATAGAGTCATCGGATTAGAAGGGACTGCAAGCCGGGGGCGCCGGGGGGGCGATGGCCCCATCCCTTTTAAATAAGGACGAGCGATGGGGGGGAGGGGCAGAGAGGAGCGAGTGGGGGCGGGGTCTGGAGGGGGGAACAGGCGGCGTGGGAGAATGACAGGAAACAGGAAATATACAAGGAGATCAGACTAGAGAGTAATCTTCTGGCCTTGAAACCTCTGAAACGCTGGCGCTCGAGAGAAGCCGAGTTTGGAATGTCACACGTGCGTTCCCCTGGTTTTCTCTGCCCTATATATTATGTTCACGACACATCAACAGAGAAGTTGGATAAAAACATCAAACACTCTTGGGGGAAGGTTGCAATGTAACCCTGTTTTGGAGAATTTGGAACGATAACACACGAGAACCCAGAAACAGAGAGAGACAAAACAGGCTGCTCTTCAAGCACCAAGGCACAGCTCCCCCCACCCTCTCCAGGCTGTCTGTGCGTTGCTTCCCTGTAGAGCCACATGCCTGCCAGCAGGACTAGGAAACCCCGGAGCATTTAAAGCTGCCCCATTTTAACACCGTTTTCCATACCCCACTCCACAGCTCTACGAAATGTTTTCCTGGGTCATGCGCTTCCTTCCGGGAGCCCACAAACAGATCTTCCGAGACCTGGAGGACATCAACAGCTTCATCTTGGAGAGGATCAAAGCGAACCAGGCATCTCTGGACCGTGATAACCCGCGGGATTTCATCGACTGCTTCCTCCTCCAGATGGAAAAGGTCTGGACAGAGAGAAGCTAAGACGGACGGACGAGGCCCCAGTGTCCTTTGTTTCACACGTACGGTTCAGGCATCGCCACGTACTTCAGGGAATCAAAGCAAGTTTTTAAACTCCCCTTTGTCCTGATGCCCACAAAACACCTGACCACCGTTGGGCCGCTTGTGTGCTGGAACCGCGGCCTATCACGCTGGCTCGCATGGCCTCGGGGTTCCCTGTGTCCCCGGTGTGCTCTCTTCCTGATCCTGAGATCTGAAGCTCTTTAGGCAGAACGTTTTTGTTCTGTCTTTGTACACCACTGAGCACAATGGGGCCTGACCCATAACTAGGGCTTGCTAGCACTATGGTAACACAAGTGAATAATTAATTAGTAAATATCTGAGTCCATCCACGATACCTTAGCACTTCCATGACCTCTGAGTGCTTCCATGGAAACCTACAATCTCCACGGTCTTAGTGCCTCCATGGAAACCTAGAATCTCCACGGTCTTAGTGCCTCCATGGAAGCCTAGCATCTCCATGGTCTCTTAGTGCCATCATGGAAACCTAGAATCTCCATGGTCTCTTAGTGCTGCCATGGAAACCTAGAATCTCTATGGAAACCTAGAATCTCCACGGTCTCTTAGTGCCGCCATGGAAACCTAGAATCTCCATGGTCTCTTAGTGCCGCCATGGAAACCTAGAATCTCCATGGAAACCTAGAATCTCCATGGTCTCGTAGAGCTGATGTGGGTACTGTAACCCGCTCAGGCTCAGACACCCAGTTTTAGGGATGCAAACCTTGATTTGAACCAAAAACATTTCTTGTGGTTAACAACTACTCTTAGGGCAGTAAATAGGCAAAATAAATCAATAACTATAATGATCAGTTACCTTCTTCTGGGGCATAGGCGGGTCGGGATGGATTGTTCCTACGATGCTCCAAATACCGCTTTATATTTTAGCACATATGTGCCCCCCCCCCCCACGTATTCATTATCCTTCTCCCCGTCGCCATTAAGCGTTATATATCTTCCAATGAGCATCAAACGCGGCGACGCCCACACAGCATACATCACACCCATCTACGAGATTAGCCCTTTCACTGGTTAATTATCAGCACGCCTACAACCCAGAGAGAGCCACCACGTCACGGCTTGGCTGCTTGGCCCAGGGTTATTTTTCCCTTCTCTGCTTTCCTGTTCTTGTCCTTCATGGCACTTCCTTGTTTATCTCAACTTCTTCTTCTGGCCCCGGGCCGGGAGGGCCCCTCGTACAAACACACCAGCATCAGTTATTTAGCAAGCAACTCACTCCGTTTTGCCTCGGGTCCCTCCTGTGGTTTTAACAGACATTTATTTCCCCTCCTAGCCCATAAACAAGTCCCTGTGGAAATAGTCATCAAACTTTAAGACACATGGTGACTTCCCGCAGGCTTGGGCATGACCATTATTGTTCCTACGTAACTCATACATTTCAGCTCTCCAACAGGGCCTCCATAGTCACCTAGACTCTCCTTGGTCCCTTATTGCCTCCATGGTAGCCTGGCGCCTCCACGGTAACCTGGCAACACCGTGGTAACTTGGCAACTCCATGGTAACCTGGCAACTCCATGGTAACCTGGCACCTTGTGGCATCCAAGGGGCTGGGGGCATCAGCTCAGTCTCTCACCCCATCTGTCAAATGACTGTTCAAAGGGGCAGCGGCCTACGGGGTTGGGGATGGATCCAAAGGCCACTGAACTCCATGGAGCTATGCTGACTTGCATCAGTTGAGGATCTGTCCCTACCCGGTGATAACCCACGTATCCGCCTCTGCTTTCCAAGGAAATTCTGAACCCCGCCACGGAATTCCACCTCAGGAACTTGGTCCTGACGGCGTTCAACCTGTTCTTCGTTGGCACCGAGCCCGTCAGCTCCACCCTGCGCTACGGACTCCTGGTCCTGCTGAAACACCCGGAGGTAGAAGGTAATTGAGTGGGCGGGAAGCTGGTAATTAGGTTGCAAGCTTGGAATGAATGGGCCAGATCCCCAGCTACCGTCAACGGGCCTCGCTCCCTTGACTCCGGTGGAGCTGAGGGTCCCGCCTGAGTGGGTGGTAACTTTTGGCCCCATCTGGAGTATTCCGACGTGGAAGGAGTTTGATGGTTCTCAGCCCCGTTCCCCTTACCCATACGTTAGCATCCTCCACCCTTCCCAAGGGGCCATCCGGGTCATACCTTGGCCAGGAGCTAGAGAGCCAGAAAGAACCGCAAGGTCCGTCTGCTCCAGCATCCTGAGCAGACAATCCCCCGTGTCGTCACCCCGCTCTTCTCCGCGGTGAGGGACCCAATGGGCGTCACTGGCTGGTTGACCCCCGGAGGGACACGCTGGGCTGCGTTATCCTGGCTTCTCTGAACGTGGGGGCCGTGCCCCTCACCCCAGGGACGTCAGATCTGCAGCTGGTGTACCTCGTCTCCGCTGACCTCCCTGGAGCCACCCCGATGCACACGTCCTCTCTGGACCGAAGCTGCCTGGCCAATGGGGCGACCCTCGAGACCACCCCGCAGGCCCCGGGCCGTGCTGCAAAGCAGGCTCTTGGACCGGCCAGGAACAAAGCCCCGGCCCACGATGGGGCGTCCTGGCGTCTCCAGCCGTGCCGTGTTCTATGTCCCGCTCGCCTCTCTCTAGAGAAGATGACCCAGGAGATCGACCGGGTGATCGGGCGTAGCCGCGTGCCGGCGGTGGAGGACCGGAGCCGCATGCCCTACACCGACGCCGTCATCCATGAGATCCAGAGGTTCAGCGATGTTATTCCCATGAACCTCCCGCACGCCCTGACCCGGGACACCCACTTCAGGGGATACGCCATTCCCAAGGTAACAGCTCGCGATGTCTGTACGGGGCCGGATTCCCTTCCCCCCTCCGCGCCCCCCGAATGTCAGCCTGGAGTAACTCCACTGGAGCCAGCGTTACACCGATCTCAATCCGGGGTAAGCGAGCGGAATTGTCGCCAATCACGTCATGCAAAGCAAGATTGGGATCATTAGACCCATTTTGCAGAGAGGGAGACTGAGTCAGGGGCCGCTCCAGGGATAGAACCCAGGAGTCCTGAGTCCTCATCCCCCCCCCCCGGTCCACCCATTGCCTCTGCTCCTCTCTGCTGCCAGGGCACGGAGGTGTTCCCGGTGCTGAGCTCTGTGCTGCGGGACCCCAGCCGCTTCAGGGACCCCGAGAGATTCGACCCCGGGCGCTTCCTTGACGAGCAGGGTCGCTTCAAGGCGAACGAGGCCTTCATGCCGTTCTCCACAGGTACAGAGCTGGGAGGGCGAAGGGGACGTCGCACGAGCCCGGCAGCCCCCAGCTGCAGCTTCTGAGACACGGGCAAGGCGCCCCTCGTGGGCAGATACAGAATAACATGCTTCCTTCTAACCCATTTCAGTTACAGGTTAGCTGATGCAGGAAGGTTCGTATTCAGTTCCCATAGCAGTAAGAAAGTGGGACCCCCGTCGCGCCGGGCGCCGCCCGGACCCCGGCCGAGATCAGGGCCCCGTCGCGCCGGGCGCCGCCCAGACCCCAGCCGAGATCAGGGATGTGCTTAGCTGCCTCACTCAGGGGGGTGGATTTTTCCCGCCCCCGAGCGCCGGAGCTGGGTCGGTCTCATTGTCCGGCGCAGACCAGCCCAAAGTTACGAACACACCTTCTTTTCTGTCTGAGGCCATGCCGCAAAGCCAGGAGCAGAACCCCGCTCTCCCTGCCTCCCCAGGCTGCTGCTCCCTTCGCTTACCCCGCTAGCTCTCCGCCGGTTCCCTGCCAGGCTCCTCTCCCCGCCCGCAGCCTGGGAGGGCGAGGTGGTAGCGATTTGCTATAAAGATAGCCAGGGTGGGGCGTGGTTAGTTTCACCCCTCGTTTTCCTCCCTAGGGAAGCGAAGCTGCGTGGGCGAGGAGTTGGCCAGAATGGAGCTGTTCATCTTCCTGACCGCCATCCTGCAGAACTTCACCCTAAAGTCCCCCGTCCCGCCGCGAGACATCGACCTCACGCCGCGCGGCGGCGGCTTTGCCCACGTACCTCCCTGCTACCAGCTCTGCGCGGTGCCGCGCGGCGGAGGGACCCACGCGGAGGAGGAGCCGCCCAAAGATCGTCCGCAGGGGACAGCGGGGGCCTCGAAAGGGCCAAACCCAGCAACGTAAAGACAGACGCGCCGCTTCTTGGACTTGAGTTGCCGGCCAAAATGCAGGGCCTGGGGGGCTGTTCCCGCGGGGAGGAGCAGTGGGAGAGAGGAATCCGGTACTTCTTCGATGCTCTGTTTATTTGCAAAGTACCAAGCCCCGTCTCCCCGAACACAGCAGGAATCAAACAACGGGGGGGGGGGGCGGGTTCTTCGCTCAGGGTTCCAGCTCTCCCCTTCCCCGGGGCCCCGCCCCTGTTCCAGCCAGGGTCCCCCCC